CTTTGTCCATAAAAGTGTTCATTTAAGTTTGTCCTCTGGGCTGTACTCAACAAGTTTAGCTAAACCCCCAGAAATCCTTGAATGAGTTATTGCATTTGGATCTCATTCTTCAATATACAACAAAGTTCCGCATCTCATCCTTACTGTGGTTAGCATATCTCATTGTCATTTCTTGATCCCTTGATCGTCCATTTAACCCAATTTTAGACAATGCAAATGTGTCTAAATACGAGTCACGAATTTGATCAACCAATAGCTGAACTTACTTGTATTTTGAGTGAAAGTGTTTGGTGAAGAGATTCGAAGGTCGATTCCGCCAAAAGAAGACGGCGGATTCTTTTTGACCAGCTGTCGATTAGCTTTACTGAAACATTCATGGTGACGCTGTTTCCGAGGTAATCTCCTTCGATTCCGGTCAAAAGGTGTTAAGCTCTCGTCCGTCATATAACTAATATTATCAGAGCAAGGTATCATCGTCAACCAAATTCAAGCTAACAAGTCAAGAAAACTCACCATTGAATCCCTAAAAAGCAGTATACATACTCTATATCTGGCCTCTGATCAGGTATTAAATGATTTGGTTAGGGATTTGACGGTGATTTTTCTTGACTCGTTAGCTTGAATTTGGTTGTGACAATGATAATTTGCTCTTATGATGTTCGTCATATGACGGACGAAAGCTTAGCTTCTTTTCACCGGAATCGAAAGAGATTACTTTGGAAACAGCGTTACCATGAATATACCAGTAAAGCAAATCGACAGCTGATCAAGAAGAATCCTTCGTCGTTTTCTGGTGGAATTGACCTTCGAATCTCTTCACCAAACACTTTCACTCGAAATTGAAGTAGGCTCAACAATTATGAAATAAGAGATCCCTCGAAGCCCAACTTTTTTTCGCATATACTTGATGAACCAAACCGCATTTTCAAACCTTTGTATTTAAGGTTGAACGGAGCCTTGACCAATACATTGATCAAAGGCCTTACTAGACATAATTTATCAGGGCAGAAAATTCTTCTTATCCCAGCACTTGAGGAAACGTAAAAGATGAATTATTTTTGGATCTACGAAGACGCTGACTGGGATATTTTTCTTTTTCATCTTAAATTCTTGGCTCTCTATACTCTGCACTTCTCACTAAATCTGCAATTTGCATAGTTACAGCTCTGCATCATCCTACATTAGTAGCCAATTGAGACGCAAAATATGCTATACTTTAGCATTCAGAAATTACTCCTAGTCCAAACCGGTGGGACATCAATCTGAATCTTGAAAATGCTGAGTAGAGGAAACGAAGCCACCAACATAGTTTGAAGCAAAACTAGGTTTCTGCAGATTATCATTAAATTGGCGCTGTTGCACCTGTAATTTCTTTTGAAAAAGTCAATAATTTTAGCTAAACTTTTATTAAATGCTCCAAAGCTTAACGGAAGTTTCAATACCCCTAGTCAACTATGTCTTCGCCTTCTGCTTACATAACTGACACTTATGAGGGAACACCTAAGCAACTTTATCCTAAATACCGAAACTCGAGGTAGACATTCGAGGTAGTTCTAAGATAAAGGCGTAAATTTTACCGAAAATCAGGTTGGAATTCTATGGCTTTTCTAGAAATAACAAACATTTAATTCTGCGGATAACAAAAATACTTCAAAATGAGCAATTCACACTGACTAACCAAATTTAACCACCTCTCAAAAGAGTGATTCATCGGTCTATTATTGGATCACATAGATATTGGAAAGACAAGGAAGGGTGTTAAGCAGACAGCTAAATAATGAGGCTAATGGGAATAGTGTTGGTTCGACCTTGTTTTTGCAACTGGTCGCAGCGTCAGTGAGACCTTGTGAAACATACATAGTCCTGTGTCGTCTGCCGTAGTATTCGGGATTTCCAGCATTGGACCATTGGCTGGGCACATTGCCAAATGTTTCGCTGGCATCGTCAGTGAGAGACGCCATCGAGTTACAACTTATCAAAGTGACAAGTGAAAGCAAACTCCTTGACCAATTTTCTGTTCAACCATTGTGACATCACTCCTCACCCCTATTTTTGTACCTTCCATTGTCGTATCACTTTCTCTCAACCCCACTTCATATGGCCCATCCAATTATTCACGCAATTCTGTGCTCATTTCATCCAATGTCGCCCAAGTGTGTCACTACAAATGGGTTAAGTAAAGCGTAATCATCTCCACCACCGGTACCAGATGCCGTTTGCAGGGCTCCTGGCCTACATTCTGACCCCCCTTTTCCCTACCCGCTTGTCAATTGGCCACTGCTAAACATCAAAATCACTGTTTGGCTGTCAACAATCTGGCCGTCTTTCATACCGGTCCTCGATTACGCCATATTCGAGGTTTTAGAGCAGATGATGCACATGTCGGTGCCTGAGAATCTTCCTCTTTCTAGGGTTCAACCCGTGACTCAATTATCCTCTCCTTCATACCCACCCATATTGTGTCTCCTTCTTTGGGGCCCTGTGTCTGGCCTAAGTCAACCGCTGCTGTAAGGATGCGCTACTTCCATTTTTACCCTAGAATCGCGAAAAAAACACTCCCCTCTTCTCGCAAGTTGACATTTTCATATGATCATAATTGAGTAGGATTTCAAGACTACCAGTACTGGGATGCTCTCCCTATGTGTGTGTTGGTTGGTACCCCAGGTGGTCAAGCCTGTCATCAGTCACCTCTCCTTCGACTTATATACGAAAATTACACACGATGCTTACGCACACACTGGTGTCCTTTATCTAACTCACCTATACCTTTAGCCTTTAATTCTATATTCTTCATCTCGAACATGAACCCCCTGAATGAATCTTAGCCAATTCCATATCTGACTCCTCTCACTGCAGTCGCCTTTGCCTGACTTCCCCTTGTTCCTCATGAGCCTCTCCTTGGTGATGTCTCTTCATGTTGTTGAACAGTTGTCCTGGCTCCAAGCGTCTTCTTTTTTATTTAATCGTTGAATCTCTAAGTCTGCTCAGACAGTACGTGAAATTATCGCTAACTCTTCTTTCTTCCAATCTCCTGTTCATCGGATTTCTTTGAAAGAGCATATCCCTAGCCTCCCTGATCTTCCTTTTCCTGGTGATTTCCACATATGAGGCCAGTCTTTCCATAGCATTCCAGTCAATAGTGTGGCCGGTAAGGGCGATGTGTTTAGCTATCTCCAATCTTTTCGTATCCATTTTTCTGCATAGTCGCTGGTATTCATTGATTCCTGTGCTGACTGTCCTTCCCGTCTCTCCGATGTATTTTTGTTCACAGTCCTTGTAGTTTATGCCGTAAACTCCGAAGCACTCCATTTTGTTGACTTCTTCATAGTGTGTGGGCAAGCTGGTGAAGAGGGCTGTCCTTTCCTTCAGGATTGTACGATTGTTCCATTCCCCTAGTATTGACCGTAGCTTCCGAGCTAATTCGCAGGAGGATAGACATAGCCATAATTTTTATTCTGCTCCTCTTGCTTTCCTTTCGTGTGTTCATCACTATCCGTATGTTGCGTTGTATTGCTTCTCCTGGATATCCGTTTACAAGAAACATCTGAGCTAGTTTTCCCAGTCCCTCTTCCCAGAACTCAGAATAAGTGATTCGTAAGCGTTTTATGATCATACTCCGAAGTATTCCTATCTTCATCCCGTAAGTAGGGTCAGACTGGAGGTTAATAGTTATTCCCACATGCGATTTCTTTCGGCAAAGTCTTTTCTTGGGAATTTTTTTGGAGCGAATGATCTTCACATCCAAGAATGATAAGTCTCCGTTCTCTTCCACATCCATGGTAAATTTGACTTTTTCATCAATTTCGTCTATGAAGATCAGAAAATCGTCTAATTTTTCTCTTCCTTGCTACCGAATTGCGAAGTAGTCATCCAAATATCGCATATTTACTGTTGGCTGCTTGGATGACATTTTGCAATTCCCTTTCAACGCTTCACTATACCCACTTCTAGCGACACACTCTTAGGCGACATTAGAGGCATAGAATTGTCTGAATAAGTGGATGGATGATATGAAGTAGAGTGAGAGAGAGAGATGCGGCACTAGAAGGTAGAATAAGAATAAGGGCGAGGAGTGATGTCACAACGGTTGAATAGAAAATTAGTCAAGAGGATTACCTTCACTTGTCACTTTGATAATTTGCAACCCTGTGCATACGATGGCACCTCTCACTGACGATGCCGGCGAAACATTTGGGAATGTGCCCAGCCAATGGTCCAATGCTGGAAATCACAAATACTACGGCAGTGGAAACAGAACTAGGTATGTTCCACAAGGTCTCACTGACGCTGCGACCAAGTTGCGAGAACAAGGTCGAACCAACAGCATAAAGCTAAAGGAGACTGCGACTAAACACAAGGCCACACCATCTTGGTCTTCATATCTACGATATAGAATGGCTCTTTGAGTTTGAAAACTATATTAAAATGTAGAAGTGGGTTCAACTCGTTGTCGCAACTTGGTCTTGTTGTCAGGGAGACTATGTAGAACGCACCTAGTCCGAAGTCGTCTGTTATAGTAGTTGTCATGATTTCCAGCATCAGACAGTGGACTTGATACATTCTCAAAGGTTTCGCCGGCATCATAGTCGGCATCATCAGTGAGCTTTGTCATTCTCCGCACCAAGCTACGAACTCGTCAAGCTGCGACCATACCAGAGGCCACAACATCCTGGTCTTAATATATTATATTAAAATGTGTTTTATTTAGTAGTTTTGATTATAACCCAGCAGCTATACATTTAGTGCTATGTCATGCATCTTTATTTCTATTTCAAATATATAGTGATGTGTTTTTACCGGACGAGACGACAGTTTATCAACATCGCTCCGATGTTTCGCCTAGGCCTGAGGATGGGGAAGAATTGCATTCTAGTCAAGAGCTAGATGATATTAGCAAAAACGCTCCATCACCACCAGCGGTTATGGAGTGGGGAAAGTCATACGATGAAAAAGCTCAGCCACTGACGGGAATCAACAAAGAGCAAATTATATCGATGGGTGAGAATAAGGATTATAGCACCGTAATGTCGAAACCTGGGGAGATTATAGAAAGTTACGACACAGATATGGCTTACACTCAGTCTAATATAAGCACTGTTCCAGTTCCTGATAAGCAATCTGATTCTAGGGTAGATTACAATAAGGAGAATAAAGAAAATTTTAAAGAAATTATGCAAGAAATACTACAAACGAGTCCTTGTGACGAAGGCAAACAAAATGAACCATCACTTTTGGGGGCAGAACAGAATAATGCTTCAGTGAAGATAAGAAAAAGGCAGAAAAAGGTTTACAGCACCGAAATAGATGCGGATTTAGATAAAGATGTTAACCTGAATGAGGAGCATCTTGTAGTCTTAGCAGTTAATAATCAGTCCAATGATGAGGATGAGGAAGAAGATGAAGAAATGTATGCTGAAGATGAATTATTTTGCTGTGAAGATGATGGTGAGGATTCTGAAAAAAAGAAGAAGAAGAAAAAACGAAAGGAAGCCAAACGCAAGAAAGGTGAGTAAATGCTGCATTCATAACATTATATTAATGTTTATAGTTATTCAAATGTGTGAAGTCCAAGATGTTGTGGACTGTTGTATTGTCGCAGTCTCCTTCCATTGTATAGTAGTTGTTTGACTTTGTTTTCGTAACTTGGTCATATTGGCAGGAAGACCTAGAGGAACGCACCTTGTCCGGAGTCCATAGTATGCTGTATAATTTCCAGATTTGAACCGTAGAATTGGTACATTCCCAGTCGTTTCACCGGCATCGCATTCGGCATCGTACGTGAGTCTTGTCATTATTAGCAGCACATTATAACTTGTCGAAGAGATAAGTGAAGTAGATCTATTGACCAATTGTCTGCTAAACAATTGCAGGTCAGTCATGCCATTCGACCTTTTTGAATTGGTGCAAACCTTATGGTATTGCTCCCGGGTTCTGCAACCTAATCAAGAAGTGTCATTCGGACATAGTTATTGAAATATTTTATCATGCCTCCACCTAGAAATTAGATTAACATTACTAGACTGAGAGGCGTAAGTTATCTAGGTTTATAGATATTAAGTCTAGATTTAGGAAGGATTTAGGCAGGGTTCTCATTCCGGATGATTTTTAGAAACACCAGGATATGACTGACCATACATTATAGAGGATCCGGGATTTGATAAATAAGCGACATGACAAGAAATTGCTTATATATGGGATAATAGGATGGCGCAGAGTCAAGCTAATCTGGGAAAATTTTTATGGTTCTGTATTTAAGGCATTAACTGCCACAAACGACGATATGGATAGGGTAGGAGACTTATCCTCAGTCCATCTTGTTTCTGAAATCATGGATCTCCTAAAGAAGGGGTTAAATTTTTCCCTAGGTAACTAAGGAAACGTTATAAATGATATACTTCTGAAATTTGTTAACATATCGGATAAATATCCAGAAGAGATAAAGCGGGACATGGAAATATAAATACTCCTAAGAATCCCGGCACATCAAGAGCCAATATACAGGAGCGGATTAAATTGGATACGCAGAAAATTACAAAAGAATGAACAAATGTTTCTTGAGGTGGGTAAGGGAGGAGCGACGGTGGTAATGGTCAGGAAACAGTACAAGGGTAAAATAGAAAGGATCAAATACTAAGGAACGATCCGACCATTGAGATCAATGGGACACAGAAGGGAATGCATAACACCTGATAAATCAGCAGATGGATGTTAAACTCTTCAACTAAAAATGGCGCAAGACCACCTATAGCCTACGAACCACCGACGATAGATAAGGAAGGAAACCCGTTAAGATTAAATGTCAACAATAAGCATGGAACAACACAAGAGCTAGCGAAATTCATTTGCTTGAAGCTCAAGAAAGTAAATGAGAGAATCTCGAATACCGTTAATAATCCATATGAATTTTCTCAAAGGATCCAGAACATTTGGCTGGTGTGAACGGAACTGTTGGTGAGTTTAGATGTATAATCCATGTACACAAGCATCTCAGGTGAGAAGGCTGTAAGTTCCTTGCTGGAGATAATGGAGCGATATCCTGGCGGCAGAACGGATATGGAAGGAATCGTTAACACGACTGATCAACCTGACAGTAAACCACATATTTTACATTTAACGGCTGCAAGTTCCTTGCTGGAGATAATGGAGCGATATCCTGGCGGCAGAACGGATATGGAAGGAATCGTTAACACGACTGATCAACCTGACAGTAAACCACATATTTTACATTTAACGGCTGCATCTACGAGCAAATATTTGGACTACCGACAGGATCTCCAATCTCACCTCCTTTGGCAAATGTGTACATGGACAAGTTGCAAAAAGAATTAGAGAAGTCATCACTGCAACCAAGAGTGCTTATGCGATACCTGGATGACTGCGTTGCCCTTTAGTTGCATTGTAAGGAAAATTTGAATGAATTTCCCAACTCTAATAACCAAATTGACGACCGAACTAAATTCACAATAGAGGTAGGGGAAGCTGAGCGACTACCATTCCTGGATATTGAGGTCGCGCGCTCCAACAGGACACTCGTGAGGAGACTTCACATGCAGGAATAATCCTCAATTTTTAGTCTCATCACAAATACAGACAGAAGACCGAATTACTAAGAAGTGTAGGCGTCAGAATTTTAAGAATAATTGACGCTGAGTTCTGGGACTGTCAGTGAGTCTCGCCATTCTTAACGCCACACAACAACTCAACCCCTGTCATCCCATCTGTGCTACTTGATGCGGTATTCGCCCTCCCCTGCGTCTGGGTGACTAATTCTAGACTAAAGCCTCTGAGTACCTCTCTTCGTCAAGCCTTTGCTGCATGGACCACCTCAATGGTAAAACCTACTGTCAGCCAACTAGATCCAGTCTCTGCAGCATCTATCCTGTTTTTATCCATAATACAAAGTCTATGACCTGCTATGCCTTAGTCTCTTGTGTGCCAAACCACAAACGTTGTGATTCAGCATTAAACCTTATCAAAGCATGCAATAGGGAAGGAGGACTGCGTAACAATATGGCAGACTGACCAACATTCCCAGCACAAGGGTTAAGGGAGCGATTACGACAGCGTGGAGTGTGAGGGGTTTTCATGAATACCGCTTAAAGGAGCATACCACACTACATCTAAATGAGCACGCTAAAAATGTAAGAGTGAAGGCGTGATAGGAGGATATAGGAAATGTGAATAGCCAGGGCAAAAGTAGAGATACCACAACTGTTTAGTACAAGTTTGGTCAAAGAATCGGCTTCACTTGTCTCTTTGACGAGTTGTTGTGTGGTGTTAAGAATGGTGAGACTCACTTACGATGCCGACTACGATGCCGGCTAAACGTCTGGGATTTTACCACGCCCCCGGTCCGAGTTTGGAAATGATCATGCATACAATGGACTCCGGAGTAGTTACGTTCCTCTAAGTATTCCTTCCAATATGACCAAGTTACGAAAACAAGGTCAAACAGCCTATATAAAACGAAAGGAGACTGCGACCACACAAAAGGCCTTACCATCTTGTTCTCCATACCTTTTATATGAAAGATAGTTAGCCAAACCATCCTAAATTTATGTATGCCTATTTATTCTCGTTCTTACTTATGAGTATATATAAGACTTGAATGTTCTGCTTGCCCTAGTATTAGCATCAGACTTTTATATCCTCTGAGGATTTTTATTAATT